CATTCGTATGATACTATTTTCAGTGTTGAAATAGTAAATTGAGCACTACAAATTATTTCTTTTAAAGTTAAATAAATCAGACAGAACAAACAAAGAGGAAAAAGTCCAATATCCGTGTTTAGGCGCGAAAACACTTTGACAGTAGCGCCAAAAAAATGGCGCCTACAAATAGAAATAAAATAATTTCTTTTTCTGAATTTCCCTTTTCCAAATTTTATGCTAAGTTAATATAAAATTAATTCTAAGATTTTATATATATATGAGTCTGCATCTCTGAGCCTGACAAAAGTTCGTACTTTTCATATGAAATCAAATCACAGAATCATTAAGTACAGTGTACAAAGTCAAATTAAACAGTGTACAAACGACAATTATATAAATATGGAATCAGTAAATAGCAAAGCATGTCATTTTCTAACAAAAAATGAATTTGAGAAAAGTTATAATGTCTACTACACAGCAAGGGAAATCTTGTGCTGTATTTCAAGATTTTCTTTTTCGTAAAGTTCATCAAAATAAAAATTCAAGTGTTTTATTTAAATGTACAATAAACAAATGTTCAGCATACATAACAGTTGATACCAGCAACAACGTGTATTAATAACAACATATATTTCCGGAAAATTTGATATCTAATTTTCGAATTTATATGATACCATCGGTGTACGTCCACGTACTAATAATCATGTTGAAGGATGGTATCGTGCTCAACATTCGTAAGTGTTTTCATTCGAATATTACGGAACGCAGGAAAATGCTAACAGCTGCTATTGTTTCTACTTTAGGAAATTATCAACTCATCCGAATATATGGATGTGGGTGAAAAATATACAAAAAGAAGAGGAAGATCCACGTTAAAACGTGAACAAGAACTTTTTCAAGGCTTACCTTCCAAAAAAATAGCAAAATCTAATATAATTCATGAAGAACAGCTTATTGCAGCTAAACAACGATATGAAATAAAAAAAGATATTGAAAGTTATAAACGTTCAACACGAAGAAAAGCTTACTGTTTTTTACATGAACATGCAAAATTAAATAATGATACTGATTCTAATTGATTTGATTTCACGAGGAATAAAATATATACCCATAAGTTTCGTTTGTTGCTTCATTCTATATTCTTTTTTCGTTCTTGTTACTAATTAAACTTATCATCTCTTTTGGAATTACAAGAATTTCGTATTTTTCGTTTTATTATCTCTTTTGGGTTTACTCAGTTTATTATCTGTTTTGGCTTCTAGCCAAAGCTTTTGATTAAAATTGCAAATTTTTGGCATACCAAATAGTAAAGCGATTGAGAAATAAAACATTTGCTCATTCTGTTAACTATTATCTATTAAGAATTATAATGCAGAAAACTCTTTTCAGAAAAACGTTTGACACACACACCCATCTACCACCGTTTGGGCATGGCAGAATTTCTACGAAGGCACTCCTATTAGGCAACCTTCATGTCTGGTATTCTCAGAAGTGAATTGAGAATAGGTTTTCGGCTATTCTAGATCTCGGGGCAATGTTTCTTTTCAGAAAAAACTTCAAAATGCTAGTGGAAACCTATGCCATGTTAAATAATGCATTTTTCACTATTTTCACTGTAAATTAAAAAATTGATAATTCACTCGAAATCGATCCAGACTACTTCAGAATATCAAGACATACTCTATTTTATCCGACACCTTGGTGCTCACTAAGAGTTTTAAAAATCAATAGAAAATACCTTGGTTTTGA